ACACACACACACACACACACACACACACACACACACACACACACACAAATTTTACTATTGCGCTCTATTTTTGAATTTTTTTATTGCTTTTTTTCTAACGTTCTTGTCACAATCAAGGTTTTATGAATACTTTGTCCGTAGGTGGAGACCTGGAGACCTATAGCACAGGGTATCCTAGTTTAGGCTCTAGCCTTCGCGGACAACAAACGTTTTATGTACATCAGAATGTTTAATTACTGTTTGTGTGTGAAGGAAATAAACTTATTGTTATTATAGAAGCGTGACCGCGAGCATTATCCTGATGAAACAACACTTTCATCCTGAGTAATACTGAGCGTTTCCTTTTAATTTCTTCGCGAAAACGACGCAAAAGGGTGCAATAGTATGCTAAGTTAATGATTTCGAGCTTCAACAAGTAGTTCACCATGATGACACCCTTAGCATCCTAAGAAAGTGACGCCATCAACTTGCCAGCCGCCAAAACTGTTTTCGTTTTTTATTGGGGTCGGTTCAACATGATTTTTCCACTGCTTCGGCTGTTGTTTGGGCTCTGGTGTATAGTGGTATACCCTGGTTTCATCCATTGTCACAAGTTTGTTAAAAAAATTTGCGGGTCAGCCTCAAACATCTCCAAACAGTCGCGAGAAATTAAGAGCCGAATGCACTTTTGGTCCACTGAAAACAACCTGGGGAGCCACCTAGCAGAAACCTTGTAAGATGCAAGTTCGTTGACAATCGTGTTTTATGTCCGTTCATAAGAGATGCTCATAGTCAGTCTTCGGACTTTCATAATGAAATCACACACTTTTCCGATGTTTTCCTCAGTCATAGACGCCATGGGCCGGCTAGACCTAGGTTCTTCTTCGATGCTCTCTCATCCACGTTTGAATTATGCGACTCATTTTTTTATAGTCGTATACAATGGAGCAGACTCCCCTAATATTGTTTCCATGCCACCGTGGATCTCTTTCGGCGTGAACCTCTTTTTAAACAAGTATTTGTTGACAGCACGGTGTTTCTATTATCTCAATTTTTTAAATCGCTTCACTTAGTCCCGTGAAACGAGCTCTAATTTCAAAACCACAAATACTACACCAATAAAATTTTGCATTGTGACTACCAATGAATGTATGAATTAATTGAGAGTACTATGAAAAAAATATAATAACTACTTCCATGTGAGGCCGCGAACTTTTCAATCCACCCTCGTAAATATAAATAAGATAATTGTACAAAATTGATCCAAAATAAAACACGCCACACGGTCTTATTAACGAATAATGCGACAAGCTTGTAAAACTGAAGGTTATTGCGAATCAATTTATCAAATGAGCCGTGATAAAATCACGGTGATTTGTCGCTGTGATTTTTTTGTAACTGGGACAGGGAGTCACGGTGATAGAAATGTAACGCTTTTCCCCATGTCTACATTTGACACATTTGGATACGTCTTTGTCTTCTCTGTCGTCTGTATACAAACCTTAGAGGTAAGATACAAACACATGGCACAACATTGCTAGCGGTAGTTGTTCTAATTAATTATATAAATATCAAGGTATTTTATCAAGCCAATTTTCGTGATGATTACGAGTGCTAATTTTAACTTGGAACTCCGTTTTTTGGTAATAAAATAATGAAAATGCATTCTTGAAGATTGGAGAATAACTGCCCCTGTAGTATGCCGCCTCGATAAAGTTCACATTTAGCTGTCAAATTCGAGTGATAAACTTTTTTAGATTTTAAAATTTTATCACAATAGTGAACATGGCGAGCACTGTCACGACACATTTTTATGTCATCGCGAGGGCCGACGACCAATAACTGCAAAATATTAACATAGGGCCAAACATGGCTGCAAGGTCACAGCTGATTTTAAAACAGTAATTTAACAACGTAAAAATTGAGCGCGACAAACGACATAAAAATACATTTTATGTTTCATGGTTTTCAACATGACAAAGCTAGCTAAATATGCAATTTCATTTCGTTGTCCTTGTTCTTAAAAATGTATAACAATAATTCATTACCAAATAAGCAAACTTAGATTTATCAACTGAATTAAATACTATGACGGGTAGGCTTATCACATATATTCTGCCATACTACGGCCATTACGTTTAAATGAAAATTCCATTATTCGCAATAAGATCCATTCAGTTTGTTTAACTTTCAAATCTAGTTTTGCCAATTCCATAATTTGAGTTACGACATTATTTAGTTTCATGTGCGATGAAATAAGAAATATTAGGCTAAAAATAAGATAAGAGAAAGTATCTAGTTCGTTGCAAAAAAATTACCCGTAGCACTAAATCCTTTTGTTATTGCTAATCATCATCTCAAGTGAAATATTGAACCTGCTATAACCTCTTCCCTTTAGTTTGAAATCAGATCTAATAAGTCATAAACATACACTCCTAAAGACAAAAATATATAACATTTTTTTTCTTACAATTCACAATACTATACAATTGTATTGTTTTTTTAAAGTAGAAATTACATTCAGAATATGGGAATTCGTAAGACAATTGACCTTTGTTGCGTTATTGTATTGAACTGGAAAGGTGCAATGCAGTTCGAAACCCAATTAAATTATAGTAAAACTCTAATTTATGAACTTATAATCTGTTCCAATGCATTTTGAACAAAAGATAAACAAGACTGTTTGATTGAAATTCTAAATCCATCACTTAAGAAATCGAATAAGTAACACTTTCACGTATATTTCGAAGATTTCGACTTGATATCTCTTCACTTTTTCCAACTATATTCATTTGAATAGAATCGTAAAATCTTATTTGAAAAATGGTAACCCAAAACCGCTAGTATGAGTTAATTGAACAAATTGATTCATTCAATTCATTAATCAATTTGTAGTTGGCATTACAATTGACCATCACTAAACCGTCTATGGTCGGGTTAGTGGTTTGTTTACTTTTTGTTTAAAATGGATTGAAACGAATTATAGTGGCAAAATTTTTTAAAACCACTTCATTCAAAAACACTAGCAGCAGTAGATCTCCTAGTAAAGGAGTTCGTCCAAGGAAGTACTGCCACCTTACTTATTTCTGCCGCCAAGCAGTAATGTGACCCCAGTCTACCAACCCTTAAGAGATTTAAGATGTCCAACACCCAGGTTCCATCAAGATTCTTTCAACGTAAACGCATATAATGATTATTGACGTCACATTACATTTATAAATAAGAAGAATGGTGATTTTTTATAAAAAAATCTTTAACCCTTACCTATCTCTGCCATCAAGCAGCAATGTGAGCATTACCAGTTTTAAAGGACTTGTCAACTTAAGGGTCGAAACACAAAACTTGAATAATGAATAATTGAAGAAACTTACGAGCTCGCATGACGCATCGCAAGAGTTTGCGAATT